TGATATAAGCACACCCAATAGTGCATTTATGGCATTTATGATCAGCGAGGTTGAGAGCTTGCCACCTAGCTATCAAAGCCGTTTTAAACTTAACATGCACAAGATGGCATATGAGCTAAAGATGGAAGCCCTTAGCGATAAAGAAAATCAGTAATAAGCCTTGATATCACAAAACATGATGTTGATACTGCTGGCTTGTTATCAGGTGCAGCTACTACTGTGAGTGGGCTTGGGAGGGCCCACTCAGCAGAGCAGCAGTTGACGCTGAGAGTAGGAAGCGTTCACCCCTGCTGCTGGCATGCTGTCCCCCCCCCCCCCCCCCCCCCCTTTGACTTGGTTGCTTAGCTTGCTGAACCCGTGTTGGTCCTGACGAGGTTTGCCGTTTGCTCGAGTTTGAGATTATAACATATTTTTAAAAAAGGCAGTGGAGCGAAGTATGTTGAAAATGGAGGCCTAGCTTGTTGAAATGGTCTACTTTGGTCGGCAAGCTAGGCTTCGAACTCCTTGCTCCTGGAAAAATTGGTTATAAAGTCAGGTTCGAGCTAACAGCAAGGCTTATCGGAACCGACAAGGGCTCAGCAAACTAGGCAACTGTGTCTGGGGAATACGGAAGCAGCATGCTGGCAGAAGGGGCGGCTGCTTTCTACTTTCAGCGGCAAGTGCCACTCTGCTGAGTGGGCCATCCCAAGCCCCTCCCCCAAAAGCACCTACAACTGATAAAGGCCCGTTCACACATTTGCGTTTGACTTCGACCGACTGAGACGAGACCGGTTTTTAAGCTTCTTGCTGCGACGACTTCCAACAGGCTCTGCAGCAGTGCATCCGCTTGTAAGCCGTCGCGCAAGAGGCTTAAAAACCGATCTTGGCTCAGCCGGTCGTAGTCGTTTGCATTTGTGCGAACGGGCCTTTACAAGTCAGCGACGTCAATACCAAGTACTTCCTGCCTTTGAGCATACACTGAAACCAAAAAAAAAAAAAAAGATAATAGTGAGATATTGTGTACCTTGAATGTTGTATAGCCTAAAATGCATAGATGTTTTATTTTACTCATTGTTTATTTTATTTCTTGATTATAATGTTGCATTGATGCATTATTTTGTTATGCATTCTGTTTTGACCAGTGCAATTAGCAAAAAATTCATTTTTAATTTTTTTATTGCATGTCATGATAGGAATATATTGATATGCCCACCTGTGATGCATTAGTATCTTCTTTACTTGTGCATAAAATATATTGATGTGTTATTTTGCTTGTTGTTTAGTTTATGTCATGGTTTTGATGTATTTATTGCAGATGAAATAATATAAGGTATTGACTATTTCTACGTCCATCGCCAACATATCTAAAAAATTATTTTGACATCCCCCGTCAATGCAGCTGTTGCAGGGATAGTAGGGTGGTAGCCATTTTGTTTGGTTTAGTTTAAGACTGGAGGTATCAGTGTCGACGGTCCCATGTCGCTGTGTCGCATGCCGGAGAAGTTTTAGTCCTACATGGCACTGGAAAGGTCTTGTATAGTGTGTGTGTGCTCGACTGGCACGACATTTGACCCTTTCAGACATGACACGTCTCGTGGCAATGTTCTCAACTCTTGCATGTCATTTCGGCAGGTGTCTCACTTAAAGTTTTGAATGCCCAACAAAAACGAGCTAGATATTCTTTCATATTGGCTGCACATAGCAAAAGTAAGTGCTTGAACTACATAACAAATGTAAAGTACAAAGCACTGAGAGTTTTGAACAATTTTTGTGCCTCTAGGCTTCCACACCGTGCGAGCGCATCTTCAAATCGTCGCAAAGTCTCGCTTTGCATCTGGGTTTGCTGTTTAACCTAGATTTTATTTTTGGTTTGTGTATAAATTGCATAATGAATGTAGGTTGCTTACGAAATGATAGTGATGTTCAATAAAGTGTTGCAATCGCAAACATTGCCTCCTTGACATTGACTGGTGCAAACAAACAACCGAGGTTCCAACACACCGATTAAAAAATTACCATATAGCAATCTGCATTGTTGTTGTACGAGAGACATGCATCTTCCTACAGCAAGTGTCATGCAATTGACGGCAAATTTTGTGACACGAGAATCAAATCCAAAACATTACAGAACGCGAGAGCATTCTGTAATGTTTTCCACAACCAAGCAAATGTCACGTGCTGCCTGATACTTGAGTTGTATTTTGAGTTTCTTTGCATTCCCCATAACTTAAAAGGTCATAAAAGCAGCAGTGGACATTTGTGGCCAGAAAGGTGTGTTGAACTGCAACGTCTATTGCAAGCAAGGTGACATTTTCCCCGGCTACTTTCGATTTGAAGTCCCAAGTTGGAGACGTCAAAATAATGAATTAGTGCTACGACTTATGACGTTTGTTTACTTCAAGTCGTGCGATATAGTGATGTCTCGTTAATGCACACCTCCATTCCCAAAGCAAAATGTCCATAGTGTGAGTTATTCATAATAATGAGACAAAAATGCATGTATTTACCCAGTTTGTCTCCCAAAGTGTTCTCATAATAAAGGGGTCTGTGTTAAGAGATGACACATACATTGCTAATTGGGAAACCTGGGATATTCCTTAAATAAAAACAGTTTGAACAAGTCAGTTATTTGTTTTCTTAAATTTTTATTTGCACATGTGGAAAAAGGTAACACCACACCAACATAGAAAAATATTAGTTCTCTGACCAAGCCTCCTGATCAAAACGCAGTTGCCAAGACAGTCCATCAAGCATCGTCGGATGTAACTGACTGCAGATAGAGCAGAAAACACGCACCCTTGCTCAGCGGCCTGCCAGCCATAAAACGTTGCAGTTTGTAGTGGTAAACCATGCCTGTAATGATGCAAAAGTAACAATGCCTGCCGCAGGCAGGCATTGTTACTTCCGCATCATCCGAGTTCACGGCTTAGGGTAGGTTTGTGGTAAACTTCAAACGAAGATTGCATGAAAATATTTCAATGAGGAGCAGTTGTGAGATAAGGTTTGATATCTAATCAACCATTGACTGAAAATCTTCGTAATTAACCAGAGTTACCCTTAAATTTAAGTGTAAACTGAACACAACATTTTGTGATCCTTCACCGATCCAGACTGCTCAATTCAAGAGGCTATCAAAAATGGACACACTGCAATTGTAGAATGGATTCCAAGTCACAGGAAGGAAATCACAATTTAATTCATTTGGAGAGGAAGCAGAAGAACAATTAGTTTCTTGCTTGACAAGTGCCTGCCTCCCAAAGTAGAGAAAAAAAAGGTTTTGTTTTGTTATGTTTACACAATTAAAAAAATTGTATTACAGGCAAGAGGAGAGAAAGCATCCAACAAATTTGAAATGGGGAAATATAACCAACATACATTTTTTTTAGTGTCACTAAGATTTTCTTAGGGTCCTTGCACGAGACCATGATGAAAGAATATTCCTGGCTTGAAATCTTGTTGGAATCCATGTTCATGTTCGTCTGCTTTTGTTTTATGCCTTTTTATGTGCAAAGGCACTGTTTTCCAGAACGCTAGTTCTTTGCGTCACAATTGACTGTGCCAGCCGCACAAGTCGCTGGTGCTCAATTTTTAAACATACCAGTCTTCACTCAAACCTAAGACAAGCCTCAAGACTGGTTTTGCTCACTGAAATGGCTTCTGCAGTCACCGTCAAGCCCACTGAGGCAGCTCAGAAAAAAAAAAGTTAGTCTGGGATTTAGGATGACGTTAGCAAAGAATCGCTTACATTAAAAATGAATAGGGAAAATGGTACAATGTGCAATACCGCAGACGGCTTATTAACATTAGACTTCAGTTTTTTTTTTTAAAGGGCAACTCCGCCCGATTTCAAATACTTTGACATGATGAGTGATTTCGTATTAAAAAGCCCTAGTAAAAAACAGTACATCATTTGCTTTGCGAAAAATGGAATATATATTTTTAAGTCCCATTTTAAACACGAGCAAAAATTGGAACTGAAACTTCGGCTGCGTTTGGCAACATTGGCCTCGGGCCGCCAAGCACATGGCTATCACATGGTACAACATGTCACGTGATCCTCTACACGACAACGGGCAGGATTGGAATTGGGGCGGGCGTGTGCCAGGCGCAAGTGTCGTCTGCACCACAATCTTCACCAAGCTTTGGTGTCTACAGCATTCAGTGACGTCTGCCCAACTACGGCATAAGTCTGCACACGTAGTGGCTGTAGTGTGGACTAAATTGCGAGAGACAATAATTACAAACAGGGAGACGACGAGGGCGGTTGCGACGCGGGAGATGGTAGTCACAGCGAGGCGACGAGACGGCTCCCAAGAAAAGTGTTGCGCAGGCGCATTACGCCAATCATGCGGACACCGCTTAGCGTTAAGAAGAAACGTTGCTGACATTACACGTTACGCTTGCCCGGAGAAGTGAAAAACTGGGGGCAATGGTGATGACGTTTAGCTCAAAGTTGGCTACGCCCACGCTGTAGCCTTGACTGCGCTGTTGGTTGCGCCTCAATTCACCCGCTCTAGTCAGCCAATTTCGGCAACTTGGCGAGTTGCAAAGTTTGCAGCACCCTTTAAAGAACATTTAGAGAACTACGTTGTAATATTTGACGTGTGGTCTTCCTAGGTGATACTGAAGAGGACTGCATTGGTTTTTCAAAAACAAATATGAAGCGGAGTGGCCCTTTAATATGCCGCTAGGATTTCCAACTATAATGGCATCAAGTGCAAGAACCCTATATGTATTCAATTTACAATGTTTAAAAGACGGGGAATGTTACCGAAAGAGTGAAAGGCGCTGTGCAACAATTTTTGGACTTCGGTCAAATAATTGTGGTAGTTGTTCCCTGTCCTGTGTGGGGCAAAGGAGCTGAAAACCAATTTTGCTTCTGCATGTAAGTTTGTTTAAAATAAAAATAAAAAAGTGACATAGAACTGAATATAGTGCCGTTTTTTCAATGATATGAGGATTTGTAGACATTTACTCATGTTGAAACGACAATATTTATGAAATATAGCATTAGATATTGAGCACATAGTAGCACATCTTGCCAAGTTATTACAATGCACCAAGGTTGGTGTCATGCCATAGCTCCCATGGCCGCCACTTGCAGCTGTAAATAGCAAAACGTTCCTTGTTTTTTTTATTTGCTAATACACAATGGAATTGCGATATTTCACAAGAATGAGGTGGTTTCTCTATACCTCGTGGTAAGGTAATGTAAAAATTAAAAACTGCAAATTCTTTCGAACCTAAAATTGTTGCATTGTCCCTTTAAGCATTGGGTGCTGAGCCCCTGAACACTACATTGTACTGCCAAGGCACTTCACGAGTGAGAGAGCAGAAGTACCTGCTGAAGGCGTCCCTCACCGCTTTAGCCCTGTCGCCAGGCACAGTCGAGCTGATGCAACCTACATCTGACAGGGCAGTGCCATCATTTACATCAGCTCTCCAGCCACCGCTCACCACGCCACCCAAAGGGGTCTCGTGGTCAGCGTAGTTTTGAGGGCAGTAGCGGCGATGTCCCTGCTCACTCTCATCACACACCCTCAAGTAGTTGTGCAAGTTGACGCATGCCCAGACAACGGCCTCCAGGGTTTCCTCAGAAGCCTGGATTGGTTGTCTGAAAATGCGCCACCTCGCCACCAAGATACCAAAGGCATTCTCAATGATCCTCCTTGCCCTGGAGAGTCTGTAGTTAATCACTCGAGAGAGTAACTGCAGTTCTCTCCTGGGAAAAGGGCGCATGAGGTTAGGGAGCAGGGGGAACGCCTCATCGCCCACGAATACAAAAGGCAGCTTGGTTTCTGTTTTTGGTAGGAGCCCAGCTGGCGGGAGACCAAGTTTCCCCGACAGCATAGACCGCCCCATTTCAGACTCTCTGAACACTCCCCCGTCACTAAACCGCCCCGGCTGCCCAACATCTACGAGAGTGAACTTGTAAGTGGCATCGCAGCTGGCCATGAGTACAGTGCTGTGGAATCCCTTGTAGTTGAAGGTGTCGGAGCCCGCACCGGACGGGGCCTGGATGGCCACGTGCTTGCCATCCAGGGCTCCGACACAGTTTGGGAAGTTCCACAGCCTGCCAAACTCTGCTGCGATCCGCTCCCACTGGGCAGTGTCGGGGGCCTAGAACAACAGTTGACCAAGTCTTAGCCAGAATCACACAAACACCACCAAGACATACCAAACACCTCAAATCCAGAAGTGTCATATGTTACACCATTTACAGTTTCTTTTTGTAGGAAGGCATAAGTGCCATGAATACTAGGATGTTTTTTCAAGTGATCCTAGCACAGCACTCATAGTCCGTGTTCCCAAATCGACTCAATCTCACTGTAGGGTAAAGGTTCTGTACCTGGTGTTTGAAAACCTAAACGCGTCCAGCGTTTCTTTATCTGTCTTGTCTCGTGACATGATCTGCTGCAGTAACTCGGATCCATTCGAGTTGGATTTGGGAAACAGCCATAATGTTGCAATGGTCGCAATTATTTGCAGTTGAGAGTTTACAGGGAGTGTACGCTATACACAGAGAACGTCAAATCCAAAGTATTCATAAACAGCACAAGCCACGGCATTAAGTTCTGGTAAAGAGATGCAGTCATAACTGTCTTTTACTTTACCTTCCTTATTTCATTCACTTCACTTCATCACTGTGGTTGCACAAGTGGTTGTTGTCTGTGTTTGTTGGATCTTCAAGAGTTTTGTGAAGCATTAAGATCACAGCCATGAGATATTGGCTTAAGATAGGGCTTTTGCTGCACAGGGAATTGAAGTTTCTGTATAAATGGTTAATTAGCAAGACCTAGCCTGTGTCTTTGATTTAATTCTTTGACTCCTAAGTTGACCAGGCACTAGAAGCTACCTGCTCAATCGACTAGTCGTGTGTCTACCTTTTGTCACATGATCACGGTCCCTTCTGTGGCCACGAGCAGAAATAGCAGTCAGAAGACGAAAGGGTGACGGTTGATTTTTCTGGCAAGCATGTAGCTCCCACCATACTGCCAGCTTAGGGGTGGAGGAAGTGTAGTACAGCACATAACTTGTACGATGGAGCATAAACACCATTGTGCTTCTGTCACTAATGGAGGCTTTTTGTGGGTTCGCTCCTTGTCATCAAAAGTGCCAGTGGTCAGCATTTCTGGGAAACAGAAATAGGGCAGTAATGGCAGCTCGTACTTGGCTACAACTTTGCCCTGCGAGCAGAGAATGCCGCGGGAAGGCTAGAAAAAGAGGCAAGCTGAATTCAAGGAAGTGCACAACGAAGTACAAGTGGCTACAAAATGCAGAACCAGGATCGCTCAAATAACCAGACGAACTATATTAGAACGCTCAGCACTGCTGGCGATGCAATGCGAAGCACACTCCAGACACTTACAAATTTCAGGCAGCATGTTGCAATTATTGCAAGAAATGCAGACACATTGTCAAGGCATGCATCAAGAAGCGGAAGGATACGAAACATTCGCACATAAATCACAGCATCTATCTATAACAGCACCAGGTGCAGACAAGTGTGCCACAATTGTCATGCACCCTCCCTCACTGGCTACGTCAACACTGTACGAGCTGAACACCGTGCAAATACTACCAATGTGCTGAACTTCACAGTGGACGTATCAGCTGACAACAGGTGCTTGAACTTCAAGGTTGACTTCGGAGCAGCCTGCACACTCATCAGCAAAGCGCGGTTATGTTCTACATGGATGAACAGCCCGCCTCGGCTGGAAACTGAACTGAATGAGCCGACGCTGTGTGACGTTAGGTCCGGACATAACAGCAACACTGACATACTCACCGGGCGGTACAATGGGTCCAGTACATGGTGCAGTGCCCAGCACGTCTCCCGTAGGATGTTGCTTGCTGTCGATCGTCCGATCCTGTAGCACATGGATGCCAGCTGCTGAGAAGACCCATGAGCCAGGCACCTAAAATGTTAAAGTTGTGGGTCACAATGATACACGTGCTATTAGACAAGCAACAGAAACAGTCAATGCTTGGAGCAACAGAGAACAAAAAGAGTGATATAAAAGATGAGTGGGGCTCAAAATAATGTAAATGAGATGTTTGTATGTAGACAGTTAAAGGATGTTCTACCTTTGAAATCTGATGACAGTAGGTTACAATCAGGGTTCCATGCTTTCAGTAAATACCAATAAAACCTAGAAAAATAAACCCAAGTCAGTTTTGTCAAAATCTGGGAAAACTGAAAAACTGATTTCGAGCTGTCCTTGAATTACAAGAGCCCAAGCTTCACGGGAACAAACTTATTATGTACAGCTTTATTTTGTGCTGATCCAGAAGAGGGCTATTAGTAAACTGCCTGCTTCTTTCTCAGGAACCACAGACCTTATTCCATTTCCTTCAATTTTGGTCCTTGGAAGTTTTCAAGTATTCGGGTTGCGTGCAGATTTATTCAGCATTGTCGTTGAAAAACAACCAATCCGTGGGGACAATAAACCCCAAAAATACACCCCCAATTAGAAGAACAAGAACTCTGAAAACATGGAACCTTTTTTATATTGCAAATAAATTAAGCCAGTGTAGTATGGATGCTAGCCGTAACATACACCGTGCAGTGGTGACACGAGCAAACACCAATGCGATGCTCATTCAAATTGAAACGGGTAGGCGTGGGGATTTAGGCCAGGCTCCCTGGATCCCTCAGCATGGACCTTTTGCTCTACCTGCTTGGAGTCATGGTGCATTAACACATTCGGCCACTGATCCCCCACACTAGGAGTCTCCTCACGGAAAAGTGTCAAGATGGCCTTGCACGCCAAGCGCTGATTGGAACGATTAGTGGGTTGCCGAGAGCTAGCTGCCATTGTCTTATTGCACTCATCGAACCCACTCGAATGTGACAGCAAAATGCCAGACGCTTGCCTTCCACCTTTTAAAGCGCTCGACGAGTGCAGTCGAGACAAAGGCTGCCCTTGTCTCCACAGCACTAGTCGAACCCTTTCGAATGCAAGAGCCAAACACCAGACGCCTGCGTTCCACGTTTTCACGCGTTCGACACTGCAGCGGATACAAAGGCCGCCTTTATCTCCACTGCACTCGTGTGTTCGAATGCGAAAGCCAAACACCAGACGCCGGCGTTCGAACGTGTTTGATGAGTGCAGTGCAGACAACGGTTGCTAGCTTTCAGTCTATCCACTAATCGTTTCAATGAGAGCTCTGCGTTTTGAAGTCCCTGCACGCCCTCGTCTCCTCCTTTCCCTCACTTCCTTGGCACACTGTCTTTTCTCTCTTTGTCAGGCATTTTGCATGGCATTAGTCACTTAAAAAAAAAAGTCTCGGGGTTTTACGTGTCACACTAGCGACGGGCACCTGGCACGCCCCAGCAGAGCACTGAGGATTAATTTGGACCGCCTGGGGATCTTTTGACGTTCAACCGAAGGCTCAATTACACGGCACCCTCTCCGCAATAAGCCTCTGTCAGATTACGGGCACCTCAACTAAGATACGAACCCGTCACCTGGGTATCCATAGGCCGGTGCTTTGCCTCGGAGTCAGCGAGGTAGCGATTAGTCACTTCAGTACACAGACCGTGGATAACTGAATGTCATGAAGGCATACCCAGAGCGCTTATACATGCCTTGCGCCTGACGTCACGCCGCGATGCCCCGCCCTCATCGCAATTGCTCCCTACCACCAGGGGACCGGAGAACCTACAAGGCGTAGTCGACGGCGTGTTTCGCCCGACCGTGACGTGTTTACGCAGTTTGAGAGCATAGAGTTTTTTTTTTTTTTTTGTATGTGCGTAGTTGTTTTTCGCACAATTTATAAACAAAAAGTTTTAATCTATTTTTACCAGCGCCTACGGGCTAAATATGCCGTCGCCGGAGGAGCGGATGTTGCCGCTCTGCGGAGATTACTTCGACGAACTCGTTGGGCCTACGAGAGCGAGATAAGCGAAGAAGGTGGAACTTTGCGAAGGCGAGGATCCCTACGAACTTCACATCGGCGTGGACACGACATTCGACTCCGCCTTTTTCCCTAACGTAACTCGCTGAGCCTCGAGCACTGCGACTCGAGGCTGAGCAATCTCCTTCGTCCGTGTAACCGAGCTTTAAATTCGGCTCCCAGTCAGGATTCGTGTCATCGAACAACTTAGAAGGAGGTCCTGTAAAACAAAGAAAAAACGCCATTCGCTGACGCACTGACGTTCGCGAAACTCGGCGCAGCAGACAATGCTGCGCCGAGTTTTACATTCTTGCGACAGCAACCGGGTGAACGCGTCCTGAAAACGGAGAACGACAAGAAGCATTTCTTATCTGTAACAAAGTGCTCGCTGCACACCTGTGTGTTCCCGTTTGCGACCAAGTCGGCCCTGTTAATCTTCGCAAACCACATGCTCCTTCGCTTCTATGACAGTTCCTGTGTCCGCCGACACTGAGCGAAGATCACCTTCGATAGTTTGAAAAATCTCGCATCCCTGACGGTGTTACGATCACGACGCTTGTTGCTCTTAGTCCTGTTTGCACAATTAATAACCACACATGCAACCATTCTACGTAGCGAAACCTCCGCTCAGCGAGGCAAACTGACGGCAACTGCAGGGAACTTCCTATGCAGCGATGACGATTTGGTACAGCATAATGGCGACGGACCTCCAGCATGCAATTTTAATGACGTAAGTGCAAGGCATGTATATGCACTGGAATGCTGTGAGAGATATAGGATGTATAATAGCTGCTTTACTTTGGCTAAATAAATAGAACTGCCTCGGAATTCCCATACATGTACACTTTTTTAAGTTGGCTTATGGCAAGGTTATTTGAGAGGTTCTTCAACTTACCGGATTGTGAACGACAAACGTTCTGCAGGGCTTATGGGCTCCCTGAAGAAAGTCGCCTTTTTCTGCAGAAGAGGCCCCACCAAGGAGAGCAGGTGGTCAAATCTGTAGACAAAGTGGTTATTAATGTTTGTACTCAAAAGCAATTTGTTCAATACTGAGGGAAGCTATTCTTAAGAAGTGAGCCACTGAAATTAACAATTGCAGGAACAGCCTGTAAAACAGTATTTTGTAATTTGGTCTTGTCCTCTCGGTAAAATGAAATCAAAGCAGACAAACTTGTGCACTTTAGAATTTGTCGAACACAGCTGACAGGAGTCTACTGAAAGTGACCGAAAATGACCTGCCAATGTTGTTTTTTTCTCAATCTTTTCTTCAAAAGTGATCGAAGAAAAACTGGTTATATGAACGTAACCGAGCCATAATGAAGTAATTGCACATGGTCGAAAAAGGTAAAAACTCGGGTGTTTTAAGAACCAAATCAACGAATTAGATTACATGTTTGGATACATGGTTTTGCGCAAAAAAAGGCGGACGCAAGAGAGAGAAACAAACACGAGCGCACGTTCACCAACTCGCCCAACAACAAACTATTTTACAGTAGATTACATGGCACGCCCCAGTCATGGAACAATTTCGAGCACTTTCTTTCTCGATTACACAGCGGGCTCCGCGGGCAGAATTCGAACCCGCCATCTGGCGAATCATAAGCAAAGTGCGGCCCTTTGCCTCAGAGCCACCGAGACGATCAAACATCCAAACGTATCTTTTTTGTGACTGTTTATGTTCAAGGAGAGTTAAGTACCCACCTTTGCGGCGTCATGCGGAAGTATCGGAAGAAGTCGCTTCTGTCGTCGAGGCGCATGTCCCGGACAAGCTGGTGAAATTCACCGTGCGTTGCCCGGGACCGGAGCAGAAAGCGAATCCACTCGCGTGGCTCCCTCCGTCGGGAACGCAGGCGCATCGCTGCGGACGCTCGTACCACAAGTAGCCAGTCCACGTCGTTCCCTGACTCCGCTACATATGCATCAACACACTGCAGGAACAGTGTCCGCAGCACATCATTGCTGCCGGAATCGGGCCAGTCCGGCGGGATCGGGGCCAGGGGTGAGCTACTCGCCGGAGCAGCCATGTTGGGACGAGAAGCGAGCACCGTCGCGTCCGTCGCATCATCCAGTGTTGCCTGACTATGTCGATTGCTAGTGGCTGAAGCCGAGCCCTTTTAGCGTTCTGCTATTGGTTGTCGACGCGACTACGTACGACGCGACTACGTACGACGTGAACAAAATGTTTAGCTGGTCGTAGCAAAACGCAGTGGTTGCTATAGCAACTGTTGTCCTAAGAGGTTGTAAGAGGTTTCAAGAAGTTTTAGCGCACTTGGTCGAAGTCGGTCGCAAGAGTGTGAACGGGCCTTTAGTCTCCCGTTTCGACCGACCGCTGACGCGTCTTTTGTGACGCCGCGCTTCTAGGCCCCGCAACGTCAGGCGAACTCCACTTCTGGCTTCTTCCGCAGCTCTCGGGGCGCCGCCGCAATCGATCCCAGTACGATTAGCACCGCGACTGCTTAATTGATTTGGGTGGCAAACAAGCGCCGGCTTCGGCTGAAATTCGGTCGACGTTGCCTGGGACAAGTCTTATGCCCAGTTCAACTGCCAAGAGAAAAGAAAAAAGAAAATCAACCCGAAACTTTTTTTGTTCATTAAAACCCATTTAGCATATCAAACACCTCAGCCTGTGAAACAGCTTTAGCCCTTCAGATGCACCAGATCGTTCAGACTCTTAGATTCTCTTAGCCTTCCAACTCTTCAGACGCTCAAATGAAACCGCAGAACAAAAATGAAGCTGCTTGAAGCGTAATTGGAAGTTTATTTTAAACATAGAGTTTTACAGGTATGTCGAAACTCGGATATACGTTAAGAACCAATGTGTACTCAAGACGGGCGAAATCAGCTCGGATAGAATGAATCACACCAAAAGCGGAAATCGAGGTATTTTTATCAAAAATATATTTTGAGGTGCTCACAGTGGCGCTGGGTAAATTTCCCAGATGTAAGCTACTTCAACTCTTTAAATCGAGTGGAACCACTTCACAGACGCTGTCAGTACAAATTTAGCCAAAACCACACAAACAAAACCAACACGTGCCGCGATTGAGCAAATCCTGAGCACGGACATGGTGTCGCCCCTGGCGCCATCCGCAGTGGCACCCCGGGGAATTTTTCAAGCAGCTTCTGAAACCGGCGGGAGCACCAGGTACACGAAACAAGCTACTGAAAAATATTGTCCCTTATTCGCGCACTTAACTGCTCTAGAAGATAGATCCAACGCGCGGGACGAGAAGTCACCATTGAGCGGCCGTTTGTTGCGGCCGTCCTATACAAAATGACCAAATTAATTCACCAACGCATATGTACTGAAGGGTCCCCTGTTCTCTCTCACAAATCCGCTAAAACTATATTGGTAGGTAATGTAGCTTCCCGGGAAAATCCGTAACATACACCAAAGGCCTCTCAAAAATGAATGACGGACCTCTAACACTTCTCAGAAATGTTGAAACGTTAAGTCCTGACTTCTAAAAAACAATATAACGGAAATCTCAGACCTATAAGAAATTCCTGAAATCTATGCCCATATCAGAATTAATTGCGGGGCTAGTTGGTTGAACATCTAGACGGTGGTTTTAAAAGCGCAAAAGACTGAGAAGAGAAGGAGGGGAACCTCCTTCTCTTTTCAGTCTTTTGCGCTTTTAAAACCACCGTCTAGACTATGCCAATATCTCTAAAAATCCTAGCGGTACCCACATAAGAGTTTTTTCAATAGGAAGAATACTAGTAATTGACGTTAGAGGCATTGCAAAAGCATGCGGTACGCTTAGTGCAGAAGTTGGGATGAATTTTGAATACTTTGGAATCTTTTGACTTGCAACCGAAATTTCGGTTACATGGCGCCTTCTCTGCATAAGACTTTGTGAGATTTCGGGCACACTAACCGGGATTCAAACAGGCCAACTTGGAATCCGTAGGCCCGTTCTTTGCTCCGAGCATAATAATAATGATGATGCTTTCCAATCATACGTGAAGTGCGTACAGGCACTTGGAAATGTTAACGAATAGGAGTAAGCATTAGGCACCTTTTAGAGTGGCTGATTACTACCCTAGCACCAGGTCCATTCCACATAATAAAGCAGCCGCGAGTTAATATAGTATTGTTTGTCTTAGAACCTGTTAATGGTTCCGGGTTGAAGGTTGCACCTATGCACGCGTGCGGAAGACCCACTCAAAAATTCAATTGAAGTTTCACGGAAAGCAACAAGGATCGACGTCGCGAATTTGTTTTGAGCGTTGAGTAACATAAAACGTCGCATACTTTAGATATAAATGTCCACAATAATACCACGACCAACAACGCCTCGATCTCAGCTTCCGTGCCACGCAACAGCCACCTACCAAACCAAACTGTCAAGGTTGGCGACGATGAAGTCAACGTGGAAAAAGGAAAAAGAAGAATGGTCGAGTGCATATCCCTGCTTAGACTTTTGATGTCTTTATGTAGGCAAGCTTGTCAAAATCATGACTTATGTTAGTGTGTTTCATAGTTGGTAAATACGGACATGCGCGCAAAAAGCACCATCTTGTAAAAATGTTAATAGTCTGCATAGGTGTAGTTCCGTATACATTATTTCTATTTTGTACTATCATACTATCATTTGGTGGGCAATTTTTTTTCCAAAATTTCCGCTTGGGTATGTTTTTTTTTGTCGAGTCACAGTAAAGCTTTTTACATTTTAATTACCCCTACCTATATAAGGTAATGCAACAATTCACAACGTTGTCTGCTGGAAGCTATCGAGACGCCTGAATGGCGCGCATGTAAATGGTCGCTAAATTACCCTTTCCTAAATTACAAAAAACATTTTGTAACGCATGAAACGTTTGCATTTTTTTTTGTTATGCGCCGGAACCAAGCCTGGGTTGGTTCGCTTGTGAATACTGGTATCTCATCCGACGGTTAAAATCCGAGAAGAGGGATTTCGAGGTCACGTGATTAGCTCCATGAGGAGAAATTACCCAGTGTTACAGCCAATTCCGCTCAGGAGAAGTAAACTTTTTTTAAGGTTTTTTAATGCTCATTTAACACGACCTTCCCGCCACTAAAGATTTACTTTCGCTCCTGCGCAACACGCATGTTATTCCTTTTACCTGCATTTCAAGCCTGTCCACCCTCTTTCTGCGAACAAAATCGAACTTGAATATTCGAAGCGAGGAAGTGTTTCCGGCAGCCGCTTACACGGAACTCTAGGTGTTTTTAGAATATTGTTTTCAAGGAGTCAGTCACGTGACTCCAAAGTGTGTCTAGCGGATATTTTAACCTGCGGGAAAGATACACGCATTTAACAACAAAGCGGCCCGTTCACCATCGCCTTACCATAGTATAGGGTATATTCAGGTTTCTGCGACCGTAGTGCATTGAATCCAGTTATCAGATCTAATCCACTTCAACCACAGCGCTTACGTGGCTCCGCATCGACCGGTGGCGACACCTGGCGTCGAAATATTGCAACAAAACCCTCGTGAAATTTTGAGTTGTTTCCAATTTATTCAGCGTGGCGGAAGTAGAGAAATTTTAAAATATTTATGCTATTTTTTAGTAAAATACAAGTGACTAAAGCGCACAACAGAATACTCCGCCGCATACCCGCCGCGGCGGCGACGGCATCGGATCGATCTGCGGGGACTCACCAGGACTGGCAGGAGCCATGCGAGTAGCGTGACGTGTGAAATTGTGGAAGAAAAAAGATGGCGGCGGCGGCCCAGGGCACGCGAGGATGGAGCATTCGATTCACTTCACTAGCGTTTACTTGGGGATCTCGATTCAATTATTGTGGATCTCAAAACACTCCTTTTCTAGTGGATCGGATGGGATTCGATCCGACGCGCTATGGACTATGGAATCGAGGCCTTTATGTGGGCCAATTCGATACGCTACCTTTGCATCCGCGTATTTACCGCCATGTATGCTAGTTGCCAGAGGCTTCCTGCTTCCTATCGATACAATGTCATGATTAGTGGATTCCGAACCCTCCCCCAAGCGGCACACATGCCGAAGTTCGGCGAGAGTCTGTCGCGGTGCCGTGCCGTACAAGCGCCGAGTCTGCTGTGAGATGCTGTAGAAAGCGCAGGCAGTAAATGCTGACGCAGAGTACGTGTCGCTCCGTGATGAAAATAAAAAGGAAAAGAAAAAAAAACGCAAACGTTGATTTTCTTTTTTTTTTTTTTTTAGGTGGTGTTGGTTTTATTTCATCTCGGCTGCGCGATCGCTTGAGCAGTGGCGGCACTGCACTCGGAGGTAGCCGCTCGAGTTTATCGCATTCGCGCAGATTGTTTATTTATTCGTTGCGAATTCGAGGCGATACATCAAACACATTTTGCGGAATTCGTTTTGTATCTTGTCGAACAAAACTCTATATAAATATTTTCTTTTCCACAAGTGGCTTTTTTTAGCTCGTGCCTCCGGTAACCATATATCGTTTCTACGGAACACCGCCATCTCCGTAAGGGCCATAACGTCGAGGGAACGGATACGAAACAGTGGGGCGCTGTCACTTTTCATAGCTATTTTTTTGCATACCATGGCATTAATTGGAGCGGTTTTCGCCAGAGAATCGTGGCTTCAAGATACTCAAGACTTAAAAAAAATACTATGAGTTGAAATGAGGTTTTAGGTTTAATAAATATAAAGTACCAACCAATCTGATGTCTTGTTTTGTTTTAATACACCCTTGCTTTTATGAAATTATATCTTTGTAGTTGTTACCCAGCCATTATGTTCTAATCGTAAGATAGTTACTAAGGTATTTAAATAAAAATATAAAAAAATGAATAAACAAATATATAAATAAGTGAACGAGTAAAGAAGTGAATGAAGGATAAATAGAGTAATAAACTGACAAGAATACGACATATATACACGCACACATACACACACAGATATGCATACACACATGCCTACATATATATACATTTAGAGCTGGGTAGTATCGATCCACGATATAAATGTATCGCAATAGGATCTTAGAAATCCTTTCGAGCATATGTGTCTTTCAATGGAGATACATTTGAGAAATGTAATTGT